TTTTGCTGATAAATGCACCCGCCCATTCCAGCCGCCTGCGCGATGCGCTTAGGGTTTCCTGTGTGTGTGTGGCCCCGCCCGAGGAAGAGGGCCGGTCGGCTCCGCGGGGGGGGACCAGGGGGGGGGGGGGGGAGGACATGACCAGCTGGAGAGCGGAAGAGGGGATGTAGGGATACCATACTCACGGAGGATATGGAACTGTGTATGGTGGTGTAGGGTATGCGCTTTTTGATCGTATCTCTGTGGGCTCTGCGGCTGTAGGCTCGTTGGCAGTCTCGTCGGCTTCCTCGCTCTGGGCCTCGGCACTCTCGCTGCAGAGCGCTATGAGTGGGCGGCAAGGAGGACAGGCTGCTCACCCGCACCCGCAGTCACACACGCCGCACCCGCCGGTTCCTCCGCATCCCATGTAATGGTCATCCTTCGGATGATCTCGGCCCTCATCCTCCTCACACATTCATTCATCGATCTTGATGACGCAAGTCACCGTCGATGCCAATGAGCCATGGTCGTCGGTGCCTCTAGCCATGGTCAAGCCCATCCACCTACTGATCGCCATCACCATCACGCACATCGTCATCGCCACCCCCACCGTCCTCCTCCTCTTCCACCACCACTCGTTTGGTTGTTTCTTAAGAGGGCTGACGTCTCTGAAACCGCGGCGGAATAGTGCGGCACAAGCTGGACTGGCAGGACGGATCGAGTCGCGAGCACGGCCAAATCGTCAAGTCCGCACACCTCTCTTCACAAAGACACATAACCTGCAGAGGAGTATTTGCAGGTGCTGACACACATTCTCTCTATCTTTTTCTCTTTCTCTCTCTCTCTCTCTCTCACCCCTCATCCCACGCGTCTCGCTGCTCATCACCGTTACAGCGGCTGGAGCGAAAGACCAAGGAGACCGAAGTGATGGTGGAGCTGTGTTTGGATGGAAGTGGGAGTGCCGAGGTGGAGACTGGTATTGGTTTTCTGGATCACATGCTCACGGCCCTGGCCAAGCACGCTCGCTGGGATCTTGTTCTGACGTGTGACGGTGACCTGCATGTCGACGATCATCACACGGTCGAAGACTGCGCCCTCGTTCTGGGCTCGGCCTTCAAGGCCGCTCTTGGCACTGTGGCCGGCATCGCTCGCTTTGGACATGCCTATTGCCCGCTCGATGAGTCACTCTCGCGGGCAGTCGTCGACATCTCAGGTCGCCCGCACGCTACAGTCGACATCGATTTCAAACGCGAGAAGATCGGGGAGCTCTCGACTGAGATGATCCCGCATGTCTTTACCTCGTTTGCTTCGACTGCTGGCATCACCATCCATGTCACCAACCTCTACGGCGCCAACGACCACCACAAGGCCGAGTCGGCGTTCAAGGCTGCCGCCGTCGCCCTCCGCGCCGCACTCACCCGCGACAACTCTGCCGGTGTGCCGTCGACCAAGGGCGTTCTCTAGGTAAACATCTTATTCATCGCCGAGTCCAAGGTGTGCCGCGATGGCTGCGTCGTAGTCGCGAGTCCGCTTAAAGGCAGTGCGGGCAAGCGCCCGGCGGGTGGCGTACGACACGCTGCCACCAGACGAGGTCATCTCGTCCGCGACGGCTTTGTACTGCGCCGGATCGACGACCACGGTGACGCCCTCGCAGAACGCCTTGGCCGCTGCGCGGATCATGGTCACGCCACCGATGTCAATCTCGTCAGTAACTGCCGAGTCGGAGAGCCCAGCACGGCCTGCAACCACCGTCTCAAACGGATACAGGTTGCAGACGACGAGGTCGATGGCGCCGATGCCGTGGGCGGCAGCCTCGACAACGTCAGCGTCGACAGACCGCCGCATGAGTAGGCCACCATGGATCAGCGGGTGCAGCGTCTTGACTCGCCCACCAAACACCTCCGGAAAGCCCGTCACCTCCTGCACCGCAGTCACCGCAAGGCCCGCAGCCTCGAGCGTCCGTGCCGTCCCGCCCGTGCTCACAATGGTCACCCCGACAGCTACCAGAGCTTGACAGAGCTCAACCACGCCGGTTTTGTCCGCCACAGACACCAGCGCCCGCTTCACCATACTCTCCGACATGCTGTTTCTAAGAGTCAAGTTGTTGTATCCCCTTCTCGCCACTTGAGCTCACGCCTTGCTTGTTGCCTCGCCAGCCCGGTCAGAGTACCGTGTTACTTTTTTTTGGCCCTCCGCACTGTCCCGCACATCACTGCCGTCACAGCGCCCATGTGCTTGTTCTAGGCATGCTACGAGGCGACATGGCAGAAAGTACAATGCAGAGCCACAAAGCAGAGGGTATGGGCAGGAGAGCTAGCCTGAAGGCAGAGGGAAAGAGGTGAGGCGGCTACCTGTGGAACGTTCGAATGGAATGCTGCCCTCAACTCTCCCACTCTGCACGCTTCGGCGTCAGCCAACTGAGAGCTCAGGTGAGCGGCAGTCAGCCCAGAGCTACCCAATTGCAGAGCGAGTCGGCCACCTCTCGACGGATACCAGGACCAGGTTGACGACATGGCAGACAAGACAGCGAGCGTGGAACTCAAGTACGGGTGTAACCCGTACCAAGTACCGGCGACGTACGAGGTGACGGCCGACAGCGACGGCCGGCTCCCGTTCCATGTCCTCAACGGGACACCTGGCTTTATCAATCTCCTCGACGCGCTCAACGCATGGCATCTGGTGGCCGAACTGGCGGAAGCGACGGGCTTTGACGCAGCGGCATCGTTTAAGCATGTTTCGCCGGCAGGCGCAGCCATCTCGGCTTTTCCGCTCACAGACGCCGAGGCAGCCGCGTATGAGATCGCGGACCCTGCTGGCCTCGAGGGCCCGGCCCTGGCCTACGTTCGGGCGCGCAACGCGGATCCCAAGTCGTCGTTTGGCGACTTTATCGCCATTTCGGGCACAGTCGACGAGGCTGCGGCCAAGGTCATCAAACCGCATGTCTCGGACGGCATCATTGCGGCCGACTATGACGAGGCCGCGCTCACGCTGCTGTCGGCTAAGAAGGGCGGCAAGTTTGTGGTACTCAAGGCCGATCCGGCGTACCATCCGCCCGAGATGGAGGACCGACTTGTCCACGGCGTGCGGATGCGACAGAAGCGCAATGTGGAGAGCGTTTCGCCTGATGAGCTCCGCGGATGCGTGACCAATGCCGACGACGCGGCACGGCTGACCAGCGCCGCCCTGCTCGACCTCACCGTTGCGTCGATCGCTATCAAGTACACCCAGTCAAACTCGGTCGGATACGCCATCCGCGGGCAGATGATCGGTATCGGAGCCGGACAGCAGTCGCGGATCGACTGCACGCGGATCGCCGGTGACAAGGCCGCGGTCTGGTGGCTCCGCCAGCATCCGCGGGTTCTCGGGCTCAAGTTTGCCAAGGGTGTCAAGCGGCAGGCGCGGGTCAACGCGCGAGTTGAGTTCCTTGCCATGTCGCCGGATCCTGCTGTCAACGCTGTGCTCGTCAACGAGGCGCAGATGGCGCGATTCAACGCGCAGCTCGAAGAGACCGAGCTCGACACCGACCCGCTCTCGCAGGTCGAGCGCGCCATCTTTATCACAAACTCGGCCCGCGATGCCGGTGGGGTGGCGCTCTGCTCGGATGCCTTCTTCCCCTTTCGCGACTCGATCGAAGAGGCGGCCCGCCATGGCGTGGCCTGGGTTTTGCAGCCTGGCGGGTCGGTCCGCGACGACGAGGTCGAGGCTGCATCGCGCGCGTACGACATGGTCATGATCAAGAACGGCAAGCGAACGTTCCACCACTGATCATGGCGCGTGGCCAGTGAACTTATTCCAGTACGGGTATGGATGTTCAATGCAGGACAGGATGGGGGGGGGGGAGGGAGGAGGCAGGTTAGGCGCAGGCGTCAACGTCGCGTGCAACGTCGTCGTCGACGAGCGCGGGTGCCGCCGGGCGCTCCAGACCGACGACCGACTCGCGGGCGTCCGACTTGGCGGGTGAGGGCGACTTGGGAAGGCCCGGCGCCTCCGAGGCGGAGACCGACGAGGAGGCAAAGAGGGCGGCATCGGCAAGGATGTCGTCGCGGGAAATCGACTTGATCGAGCGCATCTGGGCATACTGGCGTGAGATGGTGGCGGCCATCTCCTCGGCGGAGCAGTAGGTTGACCAGTCAACCTTGAGCACCGGAATGTACTTGGAGATGTCATCGATGAACTTGTTGTAGCCGGCGTACAGCTGGCGGAGGTACTCGATGGGGATGAGCGACTCGCACTCGCGCCCGCGCGACTTAATCCGCTCGTAGCTCTCCTCGGGCGTCACATCGAGGTGCACAATGAGGTTCGGCTTCCGCATAAAGTTCGACATGTTCTCAAACAGCTCAAGGTCTACATTCAGGGCGAGTTAGTGGCGTGACGGGGAAGGGAAGGAAGAGGGGAGGGGTAGGGTGATCTCATCATGACAACGTACAGGTATCAAAGTCGCGCTCGTCCATCTTGCCGTCGTCCTTGAGCATGCGAGCAAAGACGAGGTCCTCATAGATGGAGCGATCAGCAATACCACCCGCCTTGGACCAAATGATCTGCTGCTGCTGCTCAAAGCGCTTGTTGAGGAGGTAGACCTGGAGCGGGAAGGAGTACTTTGCCTGGTCAGCGTAAAAGTCCTCCAAGTACACGTTCTCCGCCACGGGCTCGTGGAAGACAGGCAAGCCCATCTCCTTTGACAGCGCATCCGCCAATGTTGTCTTGCCGGCACCTAGTTCCTTTCATAAGTGAGTCTGATGTCATGCCCATGGTTGTGCCTTTAATCCTGCTGGGTAGCTGGGCCATAAATAATGCCGCGAGGGTTAGCGCAAGGTAGAATCTACACTGACCGGCACGAGGTCACCCTTGCCCCCCGCCCCCCACCCCCCATGGCACCCACGCCATGGGAAGTGGAAGAGTACCAGCAAGAAGAAAGGTGGGAGGGTAGTCAATGCGTACCAATGAGGCCCGAGATGGCAATGAACAGCTTCTCTCCGTAGGCAGAAGACATGGCTACAGCTCAGTGAGTGGGGTGTTGGGAGCGAGGGGACCGAGGCAAAGTGGCGCAGAGGCGCCAGTGGCCGAAGCCCCCCACCACGGGGGGGGGGGGGGGGGACGGGCAATGGGGAAATCAGGCACAACATTGGTAACAGCTTCTTTTGTACCATCGCCACAACGCCATCATCGATATCGCCATCTCTGGCTGTCTCCCATTACTGCGCATTGATATCTGTCTTACGCCACTGTCTTGGATCATCGCTGTCGCTGCGTCGGGTCCACATCTCGGGCAGGCATCCCTCGGCCGCAAGCACGTCACGCTAGCTAGCCGGGATCACGACCAGGACAAGCCAGCTAGGTAGATCCCAAGTCCAGGATCAAGATGGACGGCCATCGCTGGGCTACAGCGCCACGACGAGGCCGGTCAAGCCAAAGGGGAGCAACACACAATCACTCGACTCTTCTCCGATCATGGCAGCATCTGAGGGACGACCATTGCTGCGAAGGGTATCGGCCGGAACGCCGACAGCGAGAGGCGAGCTGGAGGCAATGTGGCGAGAAGGGCGAGTGACGGGCATGTTCAACATTCCCAACGAAGAGGTCTTTGCCATGTGCGTCGACTTTTGCATCCAGGCCGAGGCTGCAGGAGGAGGCGATGATGGGCACACGACCGGACGCAAGCTCGACGTTGACGCGCTGGTGGCGGCATCGCCTAAGGAACGGGCTGAGCGCCTTGCAGCGGCATCGCCAGGCGCGCTAGCCGCAGTGGTGGCGGCTGCTATCGACGCGCTGGATCGCAATCGCATCAATGCTGCGCGCAAGATCCTGGCCGCAGAGGAGGACGCACGAGTGGCGAGCGAGCGGGGAGCCAGGGCAGCAGCGAAAGCCAGGGACGCCGCAGCCTTGGCGGCAAGCGAGCTGAAAGATGTGGAGAAGGAGTTGGCATGCGTGCGGAGGGAGCTGGTGGTAGCTCGTGAGCTCGTGGCGGAGCTTCAGGCGGCGGCGGTCGATGAGACGGGCGAGCGTGCGGCGCTGGAGGCCCGGGCCCGGGCGGCCGAGTCGGCGGCAGCGACGGCGCGGCTGGCGGCGAGGGAGGCAGTAGAGGAGGCCGAAGCAAGCAACCGCCAGGTGCGGAAGCTAGTGCGTGACATGCGGGAGATGGCGGCGCAGGGTGTGGCGGCGCAGGCCCGCATCGATGCGCTGGAGGAGCAGGTCGGCATCCTCGCTGCCGCCGCCCCGCCCTGGTTCCAGCTCCCGGCGTCGCCGTCGGCGCAGCGGGACGGCGCATCATCGTCACGGGTGGTGCGTCTCGAGTCGCCAAAGGCGGCTGGCACTGGCGGCGGCCCAACGCTTACGGACCACCTCAATCACAAGCTCCTGGCGTCGATGCTCGAGTCGGACGCGGCGGCGCGTTGGGGTCGAGACGACGATGGCGATGGCGACGGCGACGGCGACGGCGACGACAGTGACTCATCAGACTGGGACCCATGAGGTGGCAGAGGGTTTACGTCCTGTCATGCGCGCGGGTAGGCATCGGATCGTTTCGCGCCCTTGAGGAACGACTGGAGGGCGTCGAGCCGAGCGTTGATGTCGTAGATCTCGTCGCCTCGCGGCGGCGAGGAGCGCGGCGGCGAGGAGCGCGGCGGCGAGCGGCGGGCGTGGCGCGGCGGCGAGAGCGGCTCGTCGGTGAAGAACGAGTGCGCGGCGCCAGGTCCTGCACGCGGCGGCGCGACAAACAGGCCGTCTGCGCCCGGCGGGTTGCGCGGCGGAAGGGTGGCCTCGAGCTGCGAGGTGAGTGAGCGCTGCTTCGGCAGGCCGGATGGGGTAGCGCGGCTGCGCTTGTTGCGGCTGCTCGACCGCTTAGATCTGCTTGTCGGCGAGGCCTTGTTTGCCCTCCGAGACTTGGCCTTGGCCTTGGACGCCGACGTCGACGCCGAGTACAAGCGGTCGGCGACGTGTGCGGCGCGCGAGGCCGAGCGCGAGCGGCGGCGCGAAGTGCGGCGGCGCGAGTCGCCGATGGACGCGTCCGAGTCGAGCGAGCCGCGGCGGGACGAGGCCCGGGATGAGGCTCGCGACGACGAGCGTGACGAAGCCCGCCGCCGAGGTGGCGGGCCCCACTTGGAGCTGGTCTTGCTCGACGACGCCATCTTGCGTTTCTGCTCTCGGACATACGCTGTGGGGTCAAAGCGCGGAAAGGCGGCGCCGGCCGGCGAGCCCCCACGCGAGCGCGAGGTCTTGCGGCGGACACGGGCCTTGACCCGCGAGCGTGAGCGCGACGCCGACGCCGAGTCGGCGCCCGACGCGGCACCGGGCGACGGGTCGCGGCGCGAGCGCGAGGTTGAGCTGGCACGCCGCGGCCGGCCGGCTCCGGAGCGGCGCGGCGAGTCGCGGGCAGGCCGCGGCGCGGGCCGCGGCGCCCGCGGGCGCGCCGCCAGCTGCGCCTCCAGGTCAGCGATGATGCCCCGGAGCTCGTCGTTGCGGCGCGCAGACTCTTCGGCAATGCGACGCGACTGCTCGGCAGCCTCGGCGGCAAGGTCGCGCGCCATCCGAGCCTCCTCGCGCGCCTGGGCCAGCTCAGCCTGGAGCCGGGCAACGAGGGCAGTCTCGTCCGAGTGGGCAAACGAGACCGAAGCCGCGCCGGGCCCGGCCGCGCGCAGCTCAGCGATCTCACTCCGCAGCCGCTTGATGGTCCGCTGCAGCGTCGGCGCGTCAACATACTCTAGGTATGTGAGCGGGAGCGGAAAGTGGACCCGATCAAACTCGACGGCGTAGGTGAGAATGAGATACCGCTTTGAGGCGCGGGCATTGGGACCACCGGCGACCGAGCCGTTGAGCGCCGAAGCGCCATGACGATCAGCATGATTCCGCTTTTGCTTCAAGGCTTCCAAATCAGCATAGGTCAGCAAATCGATGTAAACAGAGTCAGACGAGCCGTCGAGAGCCGAGACGAGCATACGAAGAAAGACATGAAACGGTTTGTAGTTGCCCGTCTTGTGGGTGATCTCCTCCACGTACGAAGCCGGAAAGGTACCCCTCCACCTTGCACCCGAAGCAGCCTCTTCAACATCCACATGCAGCGCATTGTTATCCTCCACACTACATACAGTCACCACCAACACTTGTGAGTTGTTCCCTGAATCATATGCCCTCTCTAGCCCATACCATCCTCCCCTACATACCCACCCGCGTCGGCCCAAATCGCGCGCCAAAGCCAAAGAGCCACAGCCACAGCCACAGCCACAGCCACAGCCACAGACACAGGCTTCCCTCCCCACCCCCCCCCCCCCCCCCGCTGTCCAGGCAGACCAGGTTGGTTGGAATGGCATGTACGTACCCCACAGAAATGACATAGGGAACACCAGCAAATGTCAGCTCTGCCACAGACATGGGCTCCGGCACCGTGGTGGCCATGGCTGGTGTCGGAGACAGTTGGGTGGCGGGAGAGTTGGTCGACTCGCGCCAACACCTCGACTCGGCGCCGCCAGGTAGCAGTCATCCCACAGCCATGTCGCTGACGATTGGTTCGGTGCCACATTGACTGGCTCCCCAAGGCAAAGACATGGATGATGGATGACGCTTGATCTGATTGGGTTGGCCCTGGTGATGGTAAAGGGGGCTAGTTTGGTTGAAATCGGTATGGGAATGCCTGTGCTGTTGCCATCCACCATGACGAGGTCCTCAACATCACCCGACAACACGCCACAGCCAATGACCACAGCCATGCACAACACCATGGCATATAAGGGCCATCAAGCCATGCCTAGCCTAGCCATGCCTAGCCATGAGGATCTCTCACCACGATGATGGCAGAGGCACTGGACGAGGCGAACGAGATCCTCAACATCACCCGACACACGCCACAGCCAATGATCACAGCCATGCACAACACCATGGCAGATAAGGGCCATCAAGCCATGCCTAGCCAAGACGGCCGTGAACATCTCCCACAACGATGATCAAACAGTGAAGAAGATTAAAGGTATGAGACCGCCTTGCCCATGTCAGCTGGTGTCCCCCCCCCCCCCCCCCGCAAGAGGAGGAGTGCGTTCAAGAGGCCACCACTTGACAACGGGCAGAATCCATGGGCGACGAGGACTCGTACGAATTGTCGTACGACTTTGTACGGTGACTTATTCCCGAGCTAGCACAGCCATGAACAAGGGTGGGAGGTGAAAGGGAGGAGGAGGGGGGGGGGGGGGGGGGAGGGGTATAGAAGAAGGTGGAGTACAAGGTGTGTCACCTTTATGGTGGGTTTGCTGTCTGTCTCTCTCTCTCTCTCTTTCTCTTTGTTGCTCTTGGCTTGGTTGTTGCCGTCCGCGGGTCGCTGACGGGCGGAACAAGCCATCCCCCCCAAGAGGTGGTGGGAGGAGGAAGGGAATGGGGAGGGGTTGAGGGGGGTTGAGGGGGCACCTTCCCTGGTCAGCTACCAAGAACGAGGGGGGTTGGAGGTGAAGGTATGGAGGGGGGGGATGAAAGACTCATGTGTTCATGGGTGTTGGTGTGCGTAGGAGTCGTACGCGGAGGAGGACGACATCGATGACCCGCTCATTCTGGCGGCATCGTGTGGAGACATGGCGTCGGTGCAGGAGCTGCTGGACCGGGGACACCCTGTAGACGTCGAGCAGACGACGTACGCACTGACGCCGCTGCTGGCGGCGTGCCAGCATGGTCACACAAACTGTGCTCGACTGCTGCTTGCTGCTGGGGCCACGATGACCGAGGCCAACACTGTCGGCGGCAAGACGTCGGCGCTGTACTTTGCTGTCGACTCGCGCCGAGTCACGCTCGTCCAGCTCCTGCTTAAGCGTGGAGTGGATCTCAACTCGCGGAACGGCCCGCGGAAGATCACCCCACTGTTCCTGGCAGTGATGAAGGAGGCGCGCGACATGGTCAATGTCCTGCTTGCTGCTGGCGCCAATCCCAACGTGGCGACGTCGGACAAGCTCGCCCTCCCCCTCAATCAGGCGGCCAAGTCCGGGTCGCTCGATATTGTGGCGCAGCTGCTACAGGCCGGCGCATCGCTCGACGTGGAGACCTCGACCGGCCACTCGCCGCTGTTCCTCGCGGTCGACGCAGGTCACACAGACGTGGTGGCTCTCATCCTAGAGGAGGGGGCCAACCCGCAGGCGCGTGTCAACCAAAAGAACGGGCCGGCCATGCTCACCGCGCTGCACGCAGCATCGGGCAACGGCGACTTGGAGATTGTGCAAATGTTGCTGGCAGCCGGCGCCGAAGCCGACCCCGTCTCTGCGCGGGCCCATTTTACGCCGCTGCACAATGCAGCACGGCGTGGGCACGCCGACGTCGTCATCGAGCTTTTGGACGCCGGCGCCAACGTCGGCGCGCTGACCAAGGGCGAGACAACGGTTCTGTTCTCGGCCGTCAAGTTTGCGCAGCGCAAGGTGGCCAAGATCCTCATCGACGCCAACGCACACATCAACGCCCGCAACGGCGAGCGGCGGGTGACTGCCCTGTACATTGCCGCCTGCCAGGGTTATGTCGACCTCTGCGCCGATCTCATTACCGCCGGCGCTCTTGTCAACGCAGTGTGCTCAGACACGTACTCGACGCCGTTCAACGCCGCGGTCCGCAACGGGCACACTGAGGTCGCCAAGCTTCTGCTCCAGCACGACGTCGACATCAGCATTCCCAACATCAACGGATACTCGTCGCTCTACATCGCGGCCGAGTTTGACCGCTGCGACATTCTCAAGGAGCTCCTGGCACGTGGCATGTCGCCCAACCAGGCGTGCGGACGTGGTAAGTTCTCACCCATTTACATTGCCTGCAAGCGCGGGCACCTCTACTGCGCCGAGCTTCTCATCCGTGCCGGCGCCGACATCAATGTCGCATCCAAGCACAAGCACCTGACCTCGCTCACCGGTGCGTGCCGCGGCGGCCGCCACGACATTGTGCAACTCCTCTTTGAGCACGGCGTCGACCATGCCATCCGGACCGAGAAGGGCTTTACCTCGCTCTTTGTCGCCGCCGAGTTTGGCCACAAGCACGTTGTCAAGTTTCTCATCGAGAACGGCGCGCCCGTCGACGACGCCAACGGGCCGGACAACCTCACGGCTCTTTACATTGCGGCCGAGAAGGGTCACTTTCTTGTGGCGCGCGTCCTTCTCGAGGCCGGCGCCGACCCCAACCTGGCCACCTCGCACGAGACGCCGACGCCGCTCCTCGCTGCGCTCCACTTTCAGCGGACCAACCTGGTCACCGAGCTCCTCAAGTGGGGCGCGTCGCCCAAGACCCGCACTGCGACGGGCCTTTCGGTTCTCTACGTTGCCGTTGCCACCAACCAAGCCGAGATCGTCGCCGCTCTTCTCGCCGCCGCCCCGCTCGACGACCTTGGCATCAACGAGGTATCTGGCGCGACGCCGCCTGCTTCGGGCGAGGCGGCTGCCAACCCGCTGCCCGAGACGCCGCTGCTGCGCGCCGTCACCGACGGCAACGACGCCATCGTTGACCTACTGCTGGACAACGGGGCAGACGCTAACGTGGCGGCCGCCGGCGTGGCGCCGCTGGCCAAGGCCGCAGCCGCCGGCTTTGTCTACATCGCCACCCAGCTCGTCGCCAAAGGCGCCGACGTCACAGTCACCAGCCCGGGCGGCCGCACCCCCTCCATCACGCCGTCCGCCACGGCTCCGTCGAGCTCATTGAGCTGCTCCTCACCAACGGCGCAGACGTCAACGCCAAGAACGACCGCGGTGCCACCCCGCTCTTCCTTGCCTGTCTCGAGGCCGACGCAGCAGCCGTCCAGGTCCTCCTCGCCGCAGACGCCGACCCCAACATTGGCACTGCCCGCGACTACTACCCGCTCTTCTGCGCGGCAGAGTACGAGGCTGTCCCCATCGTCGGCCAGCTCATTGCAGCGGGCGCAAACGTTAACCAGCCGAACGGCAAGCACGCCATCACCGCCCTCTTTGTCGCCTCGCAGATTGGCTCTTTGGCCATCGTCGACGCCCTCACCGCTGCCGGCGCAGAGCCCTTTGAGCATGGTACCGTTACCGTCACCGAGGATGAGGCTTTTGCCTCGGGTGACGACTCGGGCATTGGTGACCTCGAGTAAACCCCCCCCCCCCCCGCCACGCACACACACACCCTCCTCGCATCTCGGCCGTCGCCATGTGCCCCCGACTTGATGCCCATCGCCATCGCCCATCGCCAGTCATCGCCGCCTCCGCCCCATTGCGACTTGTCGCCACCGTCGCTTGCCCACCGCCCCCCCCCTAACACACACACACACACACACAAACACCTCACCCCTCACCCTCCATACTCCCACGGGCTGCAGCACTGCAGACGCTTGCTCCGTACCCCCCCCCCCCCTCCCCCCCCTTCCCTCCCACATGAAAGACATCCTGTTGACGGCCCGGACCAAGGGCAAGCGCGGGGCAAAGGTCAATGTGGTGGAAGCTGTGGCCAAGGCCGGCGGACGTGCTGCATACGCTCCTCTTGCTCGCCCTCAAGTCCCGCGGGCCATGATGTACTCTTCCACCACGACAGAGGGTGCAGAGGTAGCGGCCCCTCGTGCGGCTGGCATCCGACCAGCCGATGCGGTGGCCGAGGTGACGGCAGCCAAGTTGGCGGACGCAGACAAGGCGCTCGCGGCTATCAACACCGACGCGCGTATCCTCAACACCACCCAGCACGTCATTGGCTCGACCGCCGGCGCATCGTCGGCCGGATTTGATGTCTACCGCAAGACGCGCAACCTCGAGCGCAATCGCCTCGAGCGCCTGGAGCACCTCGATCGGGAGCTCGAGGCCCAGGCAGAGTACGCCCGCAAGGTCGCCGAGACCCAGGCCCGTCTCGATGCAGAGGCTGCCAAGAAGAAGCGCAAGCGCGAGGCCAAGAAGCAGCGCCAGCGCGAGCGCAAGCGCCAGAAGAAGCTCGAGAACATGCGATTCGAGCCGACCGCGCCGTTAGCCCAACCTCCTCCTCCCGCCACGTCAGGCCCTGCTCCTGCTCCTCCTCCTCCTCCTCCTCCCACCTCGTCGAGCCCTGCTCCTCCTCCTCCTCCTCGCCCAACCACACCATAAACTGTCCAAGACAAAGCCGACACTCCAGGCAAAGCATTTGATCATCTCCTCGCTGTTGACCACCAACCACGTCGATGCACATCCGTAGCCAGGCAAGTCACGACAAAGCGACAAAGCGATCAACTGGTGACAAGGACGTCGCCAGCTCGTCAGTTTGCGCTTCCGAGCCGCAAAGCCGGAGTGGCGCCGACAGAGTGGCGCTGACCGAGTGGCACCAACTGTCACTTCACTCACCACCCACCACCAACCACCAACCACGCACACAGAGCACACATACACATGCGGCAAACACCACAACGCATATATCCCATCCACAGCCACAGGACCAGCCCCTCATCTCCTTTTCTAGCCCGTGGACTCACTCGGTCGCCTGCCCCGTACCCGGCAACTCTGCCTCGTCCGCCACGGCCAGCTTCATCAGCTGCTGCTGCGGTTGCTGGTCGCGCTGGTTCCACATCATCGTCACCGATGTATGATGGTGTCATGCATAGGCAGGGTGTGGTGGCAAGACCGGCGACTACGCTTTCGTTTTACTCTTCGTCAGCACGCAAGCACAGACTTGATCCGCTGCCAAGAACAGGGCGCCATGCGCATCGCCGCCCGCCATCAACTGCACCATCGCCGCCTCGACATGTCTCGTCGACTGCTGCCGCTGCCGCCGCTGCTCGTCCGCCTTCGGCTGGCTCGCCGCGGCGGACATCTCGTCCGAGTCAGTATGCTGCGGGTGTTGGGCGGGCCCGGCGGCCCGGGGCTCAGAGACTGGCGCCGATGGCCTCGTTCGGATCGGACGTGGCAAGCGGCATGGATCACGGAAGTTGGATGGCGAGGAGCAGGCCAGGGGACAGCGACGACGACGACTCGTTCTCGGTCGCAACTGTTGTTTGCCCCTCGCCTGACCCAAGCTCGTCCTCGTCAGAGTCGATGAGCGGCTCGTTTGGATCGGCGGCCTCGGATCGCATCGCCTCGGGGTCTGAGGCCGAGCTCCCGGCGTGGTCAGCGTCGCAAGTCTCGGCCTCGGGAAGCGACGAGTCCGAGTATGGCTCGTTCTGCTCGGCCAACACCACTTGTGCGTTGCACGGGGTTCACGGCCTGCACGGGCCGCGTGCACCTGACGAGCCGGCGTCGTGGTCGACCGAGCAAGCCTCCAACTCGGCATCCACAGGTCCGGTCGGTGACGAAGCAAACCCGCTGTTTGCCGCTGACTGGCAGCAGCCGGGCTTTGTGCCGCGCTCGGCGCTTGTTGCCTCGCCCATGCCGCCCGTTTCTTCGCACCCTGCCCTCGAGGGCTCGTTCAACGTCTACCGGCCTGTCATCAACATCGACCTTCAGCTTGCCGAGGACCATACTTCAGGCCGAGCAAACGGGCCGGGTGGAGCAGGCGGCGCAGATGCATATCTCGATGATGATGACTTTTCGTCCGACTCGTCCAACAGTGAGCACGGGCAGCAGCTCCGCGCCGCGTCATCCGCCAAAGCTGCTGACGACAATAGTGACAGCTCAGATGATGACGAGGCGCTCAACCTGATCTCGATCTCGCACGCCCAGTTTGCACATGCCTCGGACCTGGTTGTCAACTCGCTTCGCGGCCCGCCGGATCTCCGCAGGTCGCTTCGCTCGCTGACCAAGATGCCGGAGCCACACCTTCGCGAGCCAATCACTTACCTCTCAGGTCTTGGCGAGCTGCAGCTGGAGGCGTCGCGGCTGCCGGCTCAGGCGCTCGCCGAGGAGCTCCTGGCCAAGCACATGACCGCGTTCCTTCCACCAGACCGCAAGTATGTAGCCCTACTTGCCACCCGGCACCTGATGAGTGCTGCCCTAGGCGACGCCGACTTTGTGCGGGAGTCGCTCTGCTCCGAGCCGTTCATTGCCTTTGTCCGGCGGACCGGGCCATCCAAGAAGCCGCTACTTGACGTCATCGAGGACATGGTTCACGAGTGCAAGGAGCTGCGAGTCCGCTCGGTCCTCCGCGACATCAAGACGAACAGCCCGCCAATGCACAAGGCCATCGGCATGCTGTGGGCGGTCAACACACCTGGCGTCCACTGGCGGACGGCATGGGATCTCTCGCAGCGGCTGGCCCGGCTGCTGGACCTCGACTCGCCGCACCATCTGGCCCGGCCCGATGTTCAGGCTGCGGTCATGGCGTACGTCGAGTCGGGAGACCGCGAGGCCATGGCTGCTGCCGCCGCTGCTGCCACCGCCGCCGCCGAGGCCGAGGCCGCCCGCCAAACGCTCGCTGCCAACATGCTTGCCGACTCGCAGCGGCGTGCGCTCGACGCTCTATCTATCAATCTCGGTCGCCTGGCAAGCCACGGGAGTGGCGTGTGGATGGCACTCCGTGATGCGCTTGTCAGTTGCCTCCGCCTCTTTCCAGAGCTTCGGCTCAAGGCGCTCGACAAGTTGATCAAAACTGCAGTGAGCGAGTACTCTGTTGTTGACGTCGATCTGCTTTCTCTCGTTCAGCACCCCTTTGCCGACGACGCGCTGGGCGCGCTGGGCAAGCGGCTTGCGCCGACACTGCCCAGATATGCAGCGCAGGCTGCGCTCACGCTGGTCGTCGTCCGCCGCGCCGAGGTCTTTGACAAGCTTCGCGCCATCGTCGCCGAGCCGTTTGCCTCAACCACCATGCAGAGCCTCGCGCTCGACTGGACCTTCTGGCTCGTCGAGTACCCCGGCACAAAGCGTGTGCTGCGTGCCGAGACCCAGCTCGAGGAGCTGCTTGGCATGGAGTTTGTGGGCACCGACAACAACGGTTCTGGTCAAGGCGGAGCCAAAGTCCACACGCCATCGACAGCATCCGAGACCTCGTGGGACGGCGACGAGGTCTTGACTGCCCGCTTCGAGCTTGCGGCATCGTCCATCACCAACTGGGTTCTGGAGCAGGCGCTCCACCACGCGCAAGCAGTTGCGCTCGGCACGTGGGTTGGTATCACCCGCACCAAATGCCGGATATGTCGTCTCCAGGTCTGTTACGTCTCGAAAGTAGAGGTCCCGCGCGGGAGCGCAGATCGGAGCCGGCGGCTTCGATGCGCGAGCTTCGAGTGCAGCGCCGGCGGCGGCGCTCCAGGTCTGCCGCCCGTCTGCGAGCATCCGGCCAAGCAGCGGGTAGTCACCCGCCAGCGGCTTCCTGCCACCCGAGTCTACCAGCCGCCGACGTGGCTGTACACGCTCGGATGTGCAGGGTGCGGGACCCGCCTTCGCAAAGCGACGTACATCGCCGGCTCGGGCACTAATGGAGATGTTGTGGTTGTCGACTCACTCATTGACAACGGCCGGACCGCCCAAGATCGTATCCAAGGCGGCTCCTCTGTCCTCCTTCTATCCAAGTCCGATCTCAAAGAGTGGCTCGGCGGCTGCACCCGCTTTGTCTCTGCCGTCCCCGCCCCCGAGCCGCTGCCGTAGCCAGTCGTCTTCGACCGTAGCACCCGATCTCAGCACTGCAAGCCCGCTGTGGGCACCAGAACAACCATCACTCTTATTTTAGCTCACAAGACGGGCGGGCCACGATGTGTCTGTGAGCATCGCCCCCCTACACGCACCTCACACGAGCTCCAGGCCTCGTCATTCCCCCAATCAGGCGGAAGAGGCAAGTCGCCCCCGCGACCACGACCTGCCCGCCCCCGCCCCCATCACACTCATACACACCTCTCACCATCCATACCACACACGCATACACCCGCACGTACACACACACGCTAGTTACACATCCCCCTCGTAGGCATGGCACTTGTGCCCACACGGTCTGTCTCCCCCACGCCGCGGCAGGTGGCGAAAGGCGACCAGGGTGATGCGACGAGTTCGGCAGGAAGGAGCAGCCAGACGGAGATGGGAGTTGGTGGAGATTCTGGCGGGAGCTCGAGTCAGGAGCGGCAGTCTGCCGGGAGTATGGCACGTGAGGTGGCCGAGGCCAAGGCGGCACAGGTGGCGGCCAAGGCGTCCCTGCTCATGTATGAGGGCGTGGGCGAGATGCCCAAGCCTCAGAAGTTTGTCACGCCGCCGTCCGACTCGCTCATCTGCCCCATACATCTGGGCCTGTTTGTGGAGCCGGCCATTGCGCGGTGTGGACACACGTTCTGCCGCGAGTGCATTCTCGAGTCGCTCGACCACATGGCCCAGTGCCCGGTCGATGCGCAGCCGTTGGAGAAGGACATGCTGGTACCGAATCTGGCGGTCAAGGGCCAGATCAACGACCTGATTGTTTTCTGCCCCTACGGCCTCAAACAGGCCGACAATGCTGACGATCTCGGCCTTGACGACCAGTGGGTTGTCGATGAGCTCGGCTGCTCGGCGAGGCTGCGCATCGGTGACCTGGCGGCGCATGAGCGCGAGTGCGAGTTCCGTCCGGTCGTCTGCCCCAACTCGGTCAAGTGCGGTCTGCTCCGTGCGGCGGCGCTCGAGGCGCATCTGGAGACATGCGGGCGGATTGGGTGTCCCAACGCTGTCATAGGGTGCGACTTTGAGTCGACGATCGCAGGCGTGGAAGAGCACCTGCCCGGTTGCAAGTTTGAGGCGATGAAGGACGTGATGGCGGCGACCAACGCGCAGTTTACCGAGCTCAAGGACATGCTTGTGCTCAAGGACCGCGAGATTGCGCTGCTGACACAAACGGTGCTCGACCTCTCACATAAGCTCGAAAACTTGGCTGGCAACATCGAGCACAAGCTCGACATCTATGACCAGACCATCTGCAAAATGCACATCTCCATTGAGGACACGCGGAGGCAGGTGGGTCACTCGCTCGACGAAATCACCATGGTCAAGCAGCGTATCGGCTCCGAGGCCGACACTCAGATCTACCCGCACCTCTACCGCTGCAAGGGCACGGTCTCGGGCCACTCGGGCCCGGTGTGGACGCTTGCTGCCACCGAGACGCTTCTCTTTTCGGGCTCGTCCGACGAGACCATCCGCGTCTGGTCGCTGGCGACGTACCAGTGCCTGCACACGCTCGAGGGCCACAACGGCATTGTCCATGCCCTGGTGGTGTACCACGGAGTCGACGGCGACATGCTCATCTCGGGCTCATCCGACTGTACCATCCGAGTGTGGGACGTGACCTCGTTCGAGTGCGTCCGCACCATCGACACCAACGAGAACGTGTGCACGCTTGCGGTCCACAACAACTTGCTCTTTGCCGGCACGCTCAAGCAGATCCTCGTTCACGACCTCGAGACCTTTGAGATTGTGCACGAGCTCAAGGACCACAACCACTGGGTCCGGGCCATGACCATCCACGAGAATGTCCTCTACGCTGGATCGTACAACACCATCAAGGCGTGGGACCTAACCGACTTTACCTGCAAGGCCACCATCCAGTGCTCCGACGGATCGGTCTACTCACTTGCCGTCACCGGCCCGTACCTGGTCTCGGGCACGTTTGAGAACCGGGTCCAGGTCTTTGAGCGTACTTCGCACGAGCTCGTCCACTCGCTGCAGGGCCACATCGGCACTGTCTATGCAGTCATCGCCGTCCCGGGCTACGTCTTCTCAGGCTCGTACGACAACACCGTCAAGGTGTGGAACATCAAAACTTGGCAGTGTGTCCAGACGCTTGTCCGCCACACCTCGTCGGTCGACGCCCTCATCTTTGCCCACAACAAGCTCTTTTCCGGCTCTGCCGACAACTCGATCAAGGTCTGGCAATAGTGCTCCGTCTGGCCATCGATCGCAACCGCTGCGACCACCCACTCCCCCAGATCCCCACATGCGAACTGTAGTGAGGGCCGCTTCTTAGCCTTGTCTCTCACCCCGCTAGACCGTGGCTTTCCTTCCGGCCCAATGAACGTTGTGTCTCCTTGGCTGCCACGCCCCGGCGAGGAGAGCCGGCAACCGCCGCCGAACCGGATTCGGTTGCCAGCACCAAGCCGCAGGTCAGCAAGGGCAAGGAGGCGCAACGTCAGCCACCTCACGTGACCACACACACACATAGACATAGACATAGACATAGCCTCATAAGAGCATCTCTACATGTCACGGAGAAGGACACCCGCACCGCCAGCCGAGGAGGAAGCCGAGGCGAAGAAGCCCGAACTGCCGCCGTATGGCCTTGTCGAACCGTTTGGCGATGCCTCGGTCGGCGTGTACCATGACAACAAGTGGGTCATGGTTCCTGTGGAGCCTCGCCGGCAAAAGGAGCCCTCGCTGCGTATGTTCTGGGCGGCGGCTACTCCGTATGAGCCCAAGCTGAAGAAGAAGCGGAGGAAGAAGAAGAAGTAGTTGTCGTCGAGCTTGTCTGCGGGCTCGTCGTTGAGCTCGTCGTCGTCGCGTTGTCTCTCGCAGGGTCAGGCCCATCAGACTGCCGTCGTCGACGTCGTCGTTGTTGTCGCCGTCGCCGTTGTTGCCGTCGCCGGATCGGTCGCCATCGCTGGTTTCATTGCCATCGCCATTGCCATCACCATTGCCATCGCCTTCGCTGACCGGTGTGTGGCACGGCTCGGCTGTTCGGCTCATCGATGGCTGGTCGAAGGAGGCAAGAGGGAGAGCTGGACAGGGGTTTCATACTATAGTAAAAGGGAAAGAGAGTGTTTGGTGATGGAACGGCCAGCGGATGAGAGGGCGAGTGGGGTCCGCGCAACGACAAGCCAAAGAGCGACTACTCGTTGAACCAAGCTGAGATCTCGGCCTGCTTCGTTGCGACAAAGGCCATGATAAAGTCGACAGAGTCGGCTTTGGAGAGAACGCCTTCGGGCGTCTTGCCACCGATGGTCGGGTGGGGGAGAAAGGTGGTGTCCTGGTTATCAAAGATGAGCTCGGAGTGGACCTCGACCATGGATGTGGGGAAAAAGCCGACTTCGTCCGAGTCGACGAGCCGGCCGTGAAGCCAGCGCATGTCCGAGGTCGGCTTGACCTTGTCGAGCATCTGGTTAACCTCAAAGGACAGCTCGTCGTCGCGCTTGCCGTGAAAGGGGAAGAGCGGACGGGCGACCGAGACCATGCGGCCGCCGACGGCGAGGAGTGCCTGGAGGGCAAAGTCCATCTTTGGGGCAAGGGCGTCGAGCGTGAGGTTGAGAGCCTTCATGTACGGCGAGAGGGTGCCAAACTTTGCGCCGTTGGCCAGCTTTTGGATGGCCTTAGTGGTGAGCACCAGAGCTTTGCTCTCGCCGCGGCTCGGTGGCGCCGCAATGACGCCAAACTTATCGGCGAGATGACGGCCGGACAGACAAAGCGGAGGAAGAAGAGCGAGCCGGTGACGGTGCGGCACTCGTTGGGGAACTTGTGCTGGGTTGCGGCAAAGAGGGACTTGAGCAGGAACTTGACCAAATCGGGCACCTCAGCGACACGCGACATGACCGACGACGCAAGCATCATGACGCCGGAGCACATAGCAGCAAGGGCGTGACAGACGGCGGCAAGGTCGACACCGTCGGTGCTACTCAGGCAACTGGCAAGAGGCGGCTCGCCGAGAGCAGCTTCCATGATCCGCCGCTGCTCAAAGTCGGTCTCGGCAGCGGTCATTGCGGCGTTGAGAATCCACTCCAAGGCGTCGTCGGTCAGCTCGCCAGAGAACGCCTTAGCGGTGGCATACGCCTCGGCATGGCTCTGGATGTAGGCGACGGGCTCGGCCATGGTGGCATGGAGAAAGTCGCCGCCGGCAGCGTTGAGGACGGCGGTGATGACCTTGGTTGAGAGGGTGTTGCCGCGGAAGAGCGAGAGCGCAAGCTCGCGCGGCGTCTTGCGAACCTCGTAGTTGACCAGCATCTGAATGAGTGGCAAGAGGCGGCGGTCGTCGTCGAATACTCTGATGCATGGCCAGACGAGGGTGTCGGCCTCGGACGAGGTGGCGACCGAGACGAGGACCGAGAGCAAGGTCCCGTACTGGTCGGTGAGCACGTTCTCAAAGGCGTCGGCATCGTCGGTGGTGAGCCAAGAGAGAATGGCCGAGTGATCCTCGGCCTTGAGCTCGTGGTTCTCCTTCTCGTGCTTGAACATCGAACCGAGTTTCTGCGACATGCGCGACATCCACTTGGGCTTGCGCGCAGAGTTGTCAGACCGCAGCCGCTCCTCGCCAAGCTCGAGGAACTGTTGGTAGATCGAGGGAAAGTGCGACATGGTCGACACGCACACGTCTTTGGACAGGACGCAGACGGCAACGTCCGAGACGGCCTTGACCGACGCTGTCCGCTTCTTCTCCAGAAACAGCGCAATCTCGCCGAAAAACTGGCCAGCAATCAAGCGTGGGTTCTCACGGGCAACTCGCTTGGGCAGTTCGATCTCGACCACGCCCGAAACTAGAAAGTACATGGCCGTGCCCTTGCCGCCGACCTTGACAACGTACTCGCCGGGCTTATAGTGCTCAATGACAACCTCTTGCAGTAGACGGTCCAAAAACCGCACGCTCTCGGTCACATACTTTGAGTCAATAGTGAGCGACATCCGCCGCTTGCGCATCCGACGCTGCGACGCCCCAAGGTCGGCAATCGGCCGCGGCGAGAGCTTGGTCCCGGCCGATGAGACAGACGCCGAGCTCACTGCCGACGCCAGGCTCGCCGCCGACGTCGCACTTGCCGCCGACAGCGAGCCGCCGTCGAGACCTTTGCCGGTTCCGCTAGAGCTTAGCCGTGACCAGTGCGGCTGCTTGGCCGCAGGCACGGCCGAATCAGACGAGCTCGAGCTCGTTCCACCGTCGTTGGCAAAGCCAGAGCTTGCGCTGGATCCCGAGCTTGAGCTTGAGGCGTCGTCCGAGTCAGAGGTACTCGAACTGGTGGTCGAGTGGTCACCAGTGCTAGACGAGCTCGAGTTCGAGCCGCCCGAGCCACCGGACGAGTCGATGGCCCCGCGCATGGCGCTAATGTCGATCGAGGCCGACGATGTCCGGGCGATGGTAATCTGGACGCCGAGTGGCGGCAGGGTCGAGGCCGAGCCAATGGTGGTCAGGCCGGGTGGGGCCGAGCCGAGAATAGCCTCGGTATCGTGCGAGCCGTCTATGTTGCGCTGAGCGACTTCGGCGAGCGAGGCCGAGGAGACAGTGGAGACGTTGACGCCAACGAGCCAGTCACGCGGCGGAAGAACACGTAGTGCAGATGGACGATGGGGTATGATAGGCGTCACCGTGGCACAGGGCTCGTCGTCAGACAGAGCACCTTCCTCACGGTCGACAGCTAGCGTCCGTGAGAGAAGCAGAGCTTGCTTCAACTCCAATGAGGCCACATCATTGTCGGAGGCCATGGTCCCGTACAGAGAGAGCGAGAGAGAGACAGAGACAGAGAGACAGACAGACTCAGTGCCCCCCCTGTTACAGCCACCCCTCTTGTGAAGTGCGCTAACACTTCCCTTAACTTAGGGGAGGGGTGGGATGACCGATGAGCTCCCCCTCTCCTTGTTCAAGGCGGGAGGGGGAAGGGGGGGTCCGGGAGTGTGCCTGGAGGCAATTCGGATCGGCCGCAAAAAACTCGTCGAGGTGTATGAAAAGGGAGAGAGAGACCCACGCCGCTGTCAGCGGTCTTTTTTTCACGGCAAAGAACACGGGGCAGAGAGGGAGGAGGAGAGGGAGGGGAGGATACGCGGGGGGGAGGGGGGGGGGGGGAGGGAGGGGGGTAACCATCGATATTCATCAAGTTGTTGTTCATGTTGTCAATTGAAAGGCAGGCAAGAAACAACCAACAAGTCAGGTCCGAGAGGGAGGGAAGGGAGGGGAGACACAGATGTAGGTCGGTGTTGGGATGCTCGGCTCGATGAGAGTTCAGTTTGAGGGTTGAGGGCTGAGTGAGAGGCTATGCTTGGTAGATTGCAGTGGGTGGTGAGGGAGAAGGCGGGTACGGGTGGTGAGTGTCTGGGCTTCATCTCGAGTCTGCTGCCTCAAGTGTGCGTCTGGGCTGAGCCGAGGGAGCAACCACTACAGCAACCACCAACTACATCACGCCCACACAAGGATCGACGTGTTTCAACAGCACCTCATACCCGCATTGACATAACAGCAAGCGATGGCGAGGCGGGTGACTGCGGAAGGAGGAAGGAAGAGGGGGGGGAGGAGGGAGGGGGGGGGGGGGGGGGGGGGGGGAGACAACAAGGCGACGAACGACGTACCAACCACGCGCCG